AACAATCCGAATGTTCATCAACTGATGAAAAAATAAACAAAATACATTAGCCATACAGTGGGATATTAGCCATAAAAAAGGAATGAGGTACTGATATGTGGTATAATATGGCTGAATCTTAAATTTAAAAATATTATGCTCAGTGAAAGCAGACAGACATAAAGGGCCACATATTGTAGGATTCCATTTACGTAAAGTGTCCAGAACAGACGATACATAGAGTCAGAAAGTCAATTACTGTTGCCAGGGACTAGGGGAAGGAGGAGAATGAGGAGTTATAGCCAATGTATATGGGGTTTCTTTTCAGGGTAATGAAAAAGTTCTGGAATAGTGATGAAGGCCGTACAACATTGTAAATATACTTAAAACCACTGAATTTGATACTTTAAAATGATGAAAAGAGTAAATTTTGTTATGTAAATTGTATTGTGAGTAAAAGAAAATTGATCCAAAAATACAAAGTAAGCCAGAGAGTAGAATGCGTCCTAAAAGGCTGCAGAAGAACAAAGAGGAGAGGTTTTCAGAAGGTTTGAAAAACTTAATTCTAGGCTGGGTACAGCGGCTTACGCCTGTAATCCCAGCACTTTGGGAGGCCGAGGCAGGTGGATCACAAGGTCAAGAGATTGAGATCATCCTGGCCAATATGGTGAAACCCCGTCTCTACTAAAAATACAAAAATTAGCTGGGCATGGTGGCATGCACCTGTAGTCCCAGCTACTCAGGAGGCTGAGGCAAGAAAATCACTTGAAGCCGGGAGGCGGAGGTTGCAGTGAGCCAAGATCATGCCACTGCACTCCAGCCTGGTGACAGAGTGAGACTCTGTCTCAAAATAAACAAACAAATAAACAAACTTAATTCTAGATGCTTTGGAGTTCTTTCAAAAATAAGTGGTTAAAAAATAAAAATTTTAAAAATAAATAGCTAAAGAGATGTTTTCCAGTCTTATATCTATGAGTTGTAGGAAATTAGTAGATGGTTTCTACATGTACTATATTGGACTTTGGAAAATGTTTAAGGGAACATTTCAATGTACTGAAACAGTATATTTATATGTAAGCACACTACGTAAAAAAATTGTGATGAGATTTAAAACAAATTAGAAAACTAAGTTATAGTAGCCCATATCTATGATTTAAGATCCATAAAAATGTGACACAATGGAATTCACAGTTTTCTGGAAAGTATGGATCATATTTTACAGGTCCTAAAAAACGCTGTTTTATTACTAATGCTCAGCTCTGTTGTTAATATCACTACTAACATTAAAACTATGCTTTTAAATATAGATGCAGTATTCACATTTGTCTCAGATGCCAGCCTTGCCAAGCTCTATATAGGCACCTAGGTTATACCACACATACAAAAATAATATGCCATACATCTAATTCATAAGCAAACCATCTAATCACTAGTTTTTATTTACTGAACATTCACAAGCTACGTAACTAAAATAATGAGGTGAGGGTTTGGTCTTTTTCTTTCCCTAGAAATGGAAGGTATGATCTCGGTGTAGTGCATTTGTTATAATAGAAAGATGCAACACAGTCAAAGACAAAGTCATTCTTGACTTTTTGCCCATTCTAAGTTCCCAGGACAAGCCAAAAGTCAAGAGTTCTAGCCTTCTAATTCAGCAATTACCATAGCAACAGCAGTCTTATTCAAACAAAGGAGGACAGTTCAGGCCTCTCAGCTTTTTCTATACCTAAGACATGCATACACTTATAAATGAATAAGTCAGGCACTTATATGGTTCCATATATAATGGAAGTAATTTAAAGCTTCCAGAATATGTAAACTCCTGCTGTGCTGAAATTAAGTTGGAATACGGGAGATAGGAACAATTTGTGTCTACCCAGCAAGCTTTATACAATAGATTACAGTTTATGAGACAGGGAAAAGGAAATTTTAATTAAAGAATTTTAGTATAAACATTTCCTGGTATCTCTTCGTTTATAAACTTGCATCCATCTAATAACAAGAGCCTCTTCTACAAAGTTCTAAGAAATAAAGTACCAAATGCCAGGCATAGTGGCTCATGCCTGTAATCCCACCACTTTGGGAGGTCAGGGCAGGCAGATCCCTTGACCCCAGCAGTTTGAGACCAGCCTGGGCAACACAGCAAAACTCCATCTCTACAAAATATACAAAACTTAGCTGGGCATGGTGGCATGTAACTGTAGTCCTAGCTACTTGGGAGACTAAGGCAGGAGGATTGCTTGAGCCTGGGAGGTCAAGAGTTCAGTGAGCTATGATCATGCCACTGCACACCAGCCTGGGCAATACAGTGAGACCATCTCAAAAAAGAGAAAGAAAGAAAGAACCAGAAAGGCAAGAATATTTTGTCAATAAACAAAATCCAGGAGTCATACCATGGATTTTCATTTTAAAACTCTCAACATTTAATTTGAAACAAAGAGTCGACCATCCACAGGTAGACAAAGACGACAACAAACCTTGGGAATTTTGTAACCTAACTTTTACATTGTTCAAACCTTAGCTTCAGATGAAAAGTCACTAAGGGAAAATTATTCCTTCATTTTAAGTATCATTATATAAGGCTGACAGAAAATAATGGTCAAAGTTTTTATTAAGGCCACTGCTTATATAAACAAGATACAAGTAGGTATTTTGAATTCACAAATACCTAGGTATTAACCCTCTTGGGGGTATTCATTTCAACTCTAATAAAACTTTAAGGAGACAAATTAATGGGTAGCAATAGTTTAAGATAGACAAAACTAATAAGTATTGATAACAAGTACTGATCACCCTGTGTGTGTTCTCTCTGTTAAGCTGTGGCAGGTGATCTCAGGCGGTAAGAACTGAGAAAGTGAAAATGGGGTTTACAATTACGGTAACATCCCCAGTGTCTTTTTTGTTTGTTTGTTTGTTTGTTTTGAGACAGTCTCACTCTGTCACCCAGGCTGGAGTTCAGTGGCACAATCTCATCTGACTGCAACCTCCACTCCCAGGTTCAAGCAATTCTCATGTGTTAGCCACCGAGTAACTGGGATTATAATGAACAACCATGCCTAGCTAATTTTTTTTTGTATTTTTAGTAGAGACAGGGTTTCAGCAGGTTGGCCAGGCTGGTCTCGAACTCCTAGGCTCAAGTGATCCACCCTTCTCAGCCTCCCAAAAGTGCTGAAACTACAGGCATGAGCCACTGTGCCCAGCCCAACATCTCTAATGCTTAGCCCCTTAGTAGAACCTGGAGTAGGCTGGGCATGGTGGCTCACACTTGTAATTCCAGCACTTTGGGAAGTCAAGGCAGGTGGATCACTTGATTTCAGGAGTTCAAAACCAGCCTGGCCAAGATGGTAAAACCTTATCTCTACTAAAAATACAAAAAAATTGACCAGGTGTGGTGGCACACGCCTGTAATCCCAGCTACTCCGGAGGCTGAGGTGGGAAGATTGATTGAGCCCGGGAGGTTGAGGCTGCTGTGAGCTGTGATTGTGCCATTGTACTCCAGCCTGGGTGACACAGGAACACTCTGCCTCAAAAAAAAAAAAAAAAAAGAAATCAAATAAAAGTAAAGAAAATGCCAAATAAAAGATACAAACTTACAGATTTTTGGGTATACCTGTACATTCATTATAAAATTCTAATTAGGAAGCCCCAACTGCTTTGCTTTTTTTTTTTTTTTTTTGAGATGGAGTCTTTCTCTGTCACCCAGGCTGGAGTGCAGTGGCACGATCTCGGCTCACTGCAAGCTCTGCCTCCCAGGTTCACACCGTTCTCCTGCCTCAGCCTCCTGAGTAGCTGGGACTACAGGCTACCAATTTTTTTTTTTTTTGTATTTTTGTATTTTTTATTATTTGTGACTGCAACCTCCACTCCCAGGTTCAAGCAATTCTCATGTGTTAGCCACCGAGTAACTGGGATTATAATGAACAACCATGCCTAGCTAATTTTTTTTTGTATTTTTTGTAAAGGTGGGGTTTTGCCATGTTGCCCAGGCTGGTCTTGAACTCCTAGGGTCAAGTGATCCACCCGCCTTGGCCTCCTAAAGTGCCGGGATTACAGGCATGAGCTACTGTACCCACTCGGCATTTTCAGTAAAATAGTATTATAAAACCAGATTCTAATTGTTCTTTCCTGCCCATCCTAGTCAATTTTTATCCAAATCCAAAATTTTTAGCTATTATATCTTTTAAAACTTAGATATTCTAAACTAAAATAGCTCGAGAAACATATACTATAAATAGACATCCTTTGTGAAAATTTTTTTCTTAAAATTATTCCTAGCCTCACCTAAACCTTATTCAGTCACATTTCTACTTAAAATGTTTTTTGCTCTTCTTACAGTTACTGTAAATGTGCTCCTCCCTCCCTTTCAAAATGTGAAATCCTGTCAGAAAAGGCAGATTTTATAAAATCAAACACCTACAGTAATATTGCAACATGCTAGAATATAACTGTGAGACCAAATTAATTCAGTAAAATGGTATCTCGTTACTGCAGTCTGCAACTCTCTTGTCTCTTTTCTAATGATTTTTAAAGTCAGAACAGTCCATATGCTTCTTATAATATCAGTGTTTTCACTTGAATTTTCTCCTTTAGTCTTAAGATTGATTCTATTCTGAAAGTAATAAAAATAAATAAATGGAAAAAATACCAAAGCGTGATTTTTCAGATTACTACTTGAAGGGTAGTTTGGAAAAATTCTGTTTTCACTTTCAGCCTTCTTTGCCTCAAAACAAACACAGCTTTTTGTCATAAACATATGCTATGACAGAATGTTTAAATGAACCCTTTGATTTGCAACCACCTTATCTTCAAATGACACTATATTCGTGAGGATTTTTTTCTTTAGTCTGACAATACAGCAAGACCCAGTTAAAACAGTAGAATTTCCTAAAACAAGTTGTAAAATCTAAGTTCTGATAAAGATTGTCTGTAAACTCAATAGAATAAATAATGAGATTCTTATTAGATTGTTTTTCTCATCCAAGAGAAATCTAGTTTTTACAAATCTTAACTAGAATAATGGTTACCTTATGGAGATACTGTATTCAGGACAGAAGATGCTTGTATATTGGACCCATGCACCAACCTCCTTTTCAGTTTCCCTTTCTTTGACTTCTGTTACTGAAAACAGATTAAATGATTCAAATCTTCTTACAGATACATGTCGCAGGCAATCATCCAGGTGTTTTTGCTTCAGAACCTTTGAAATAAAACCAAATATTGCAGTCATGTTATATAAACATATAGTAAGTTAAGTGTTCAAAATGTTCAAAATTTAAGTGGTAAGGGGACTTTCCCTTCCAATAATGACAGATTAGATAATTCACATATATCTCCTACTGAAGATAACTATAAAAGATGAACAAAATATTTTAAAACATTACTTGAAGACATCACAGAGCAAAGATAGTGAAGATTTACAAATCTGATATATATATATATATTTTTTTTTTTTTTTGAGACAGGATCCTACTTTGTCACCCAGCCTCACTGTCACCCAGCCCGTCACCCAGCTAGGTTCAGGCGATCCTCCTACCTCAGGCTCCCTAGCAGCTGGAACTACAAGTATGCACCACCACGACTGGCTAATTTTTTAAATTTTTTGTAGAGATGGGGTCTCCCTATATTACCCAGGCTGAATTCAAACTCCTGGGCTCAAGTGATCTCCAACCTTGGCCTCTCAAAGTGCTGGGATTACAGGTGTGAGCCACAGCACCTCGCCCACAGTCTGATATCTTTAAAAGGAGAAAACCTACAAAGGTTACTCTGACTTTTGCAACCACTTTTCTCCTGGGGATATTTGTCAATTCCAAAAGAAAGAATCGAGAAGATTAGTTGCATCTTTAATAGCCTATGGAGCTAGGAGAGAAAAACTGAATTTCAAAACTTACCTAGGAATGGGGAGATATATTGAGTATGCAAGGTATGTATGTTTTAGCATAATGAATAATTTTGCTGGTGTTGCTGAAAGACAGATTTTAAAGTGTGGGAGATATAACTCAATAATAACGTTTGGATTTTATTTGGATCCTATTCTAAAATAATCAAATTATAAAGAAAAATTATGACAAAATGAGAAAAATTTGAAAACTGATCAGATCTTTCATGACTTCAATTAATTATTTTGGGTTGATGTGGTATTGTGATTGTTTAATGTCATTTTTATAAGTTCATAATAAAACATCTGAAGAAAAAAATGACATGTGAGATTTGCTTCAAAATAATGGTGTGGGGGGCAATGGGAGAAGTGAGATTAAACACCATTGTTCATGAGTTAAAATTGCTGAAGCTTATCAGTACCTGAATGATTATTATATTCTTCTCTCTAGTTTTATACATGTTTGACATTTCCCATGATAGAAAAATCTTAGATATAAAATAACTTCTGACTCATAAGCAAACAAAAATAAATAAAAAGATATTTAAAAAGCCAAATATATTTGGAAACTAGGCAATGTACTTATAAATAACCTATGAACCAGAAAAATTATAGGCCAGGTGCAGTGGCTCATGCCTGTAATCCCAACACTTTGGAAGACTGAGGCAGGAGGACTGCTTGAGGCCAGGAGTTCCAGACCAGCCTGAGCAACATGACAACACCCCATATCTACAAAAAATAAAAATAGGCTGGGCACAGTGGCTCATGCCTGTAATCCCAGCACTTTGGGGAGGCCGAGGCGGGTAGATCACCAGAGGTCAGAAGTTTGAGACCAGCCTGGCCAACATGGTGAAAACTTATCCTTACTAAAAATACAAAAATTAGCCAGGCGTGGTGGCGCGGGCCTGTAATCCCAGCTAACAGGGAGGCTGAGGCAGGAGAATCGCTTGAACCCAGGAGGCGGAGGTTGCAGTAAGCCAAGATTGCGCCATTGCACTCCAGCCTGGGTGACAACAGTGAGACTCTGTCTCAAAAAAATTTAAAAATAAAAATAATTATGCAGGATGTGGTGGTGTGTGACTGTAGTCCTAACTACTCAGGAGGCTGAGGCAAGAGGATTGCTTGAGCTTAGGAGTCTGAAGCTGCAGTGAGCAATGATCAAGCCATTGCACTCCAAACTGGGTGACAGAGTGAGGCTCTATCTCTGAAAAAAAACAAGGAAAATTATAAAGTAATTTTGAATTGAATAATAGAAATACATTTCAAAACATATAACATGCAGCTAAATCCAGGCTTATGGAAAAAAATATGGAAAGGTCAAAAATTAATAAGCATTCATTGCAAAAATTTGAAAAATAAGCAAATTAGATCCCTGAAAGAGTACAAGTTAATGAAATAGAAAACAAACATAGGAGAGAGAATCAATAACACCAAAGGTTGTTTCTTTGAAAAGATTGATAAAATTGATAAATCCTTAATAAGACTAATAAGAAAAAAAGGAAGAAGTATCAATGTGATATAGGGAGATTACTATAATATAAATCCTGTAGACATTAAAAAACAATAATGAAGGGATATTTATGAAAACTAACTTTGAAAATTTAGATGAAATGGACAAATTTCTAGAAAAACACAACTAATAAAACTGACACAAGAAGAAATGGAAAATCCCAATAGTTTAAACTATTTCAAAAACAGAATTCATACATATAAAACTTACCACAAAGAATAATCCAGGCCCAGATTGCTCACAAGAAAATTATATGAAATGTCTGAGTAAGAATTAATGCAAGTCTTACCACATTCTTCATTAAATACTCAAACAACACTATGGGATAGATACCCATTACGTGAGAGAAAAAACTAGAACACAGGGCAGTTACGTAATTTGCCCAACATCGGAGAGTTCACAAGAGGCAAACCTAAAGTTAAAATACAAGCTGCCTGACTACAGACCCTATACTCTTAATACCTCTGCTTGTACAGAATATGATAAACTGGCATCACCTATCCATTCCAGCTTCCAAGATACCTTTCTATTTTATAGAGCTGGAAAGTTAGAAACTGTATTTCCCGGAATCCTTAGCAGCTAGAGTTTCAGGTGTGATTTTGGTTTAACTATTCAGATGCACTAACATGAGATTTGAAAGGAGGAAAGATGGTGTTAACTATAATTCACCAACTTGTGCTGGTTAGAATAGTTGTAAAGATACTTGGTTTTTCTAAAGCAGCTTTAACAGAGGTCCCAGTGTTGACTCTAATTTAATGGAGAGTGAGAGGAAGCACAAGTGGCATCACCTCTCCTGGTACAGATCTAGAAGCAAGGTATGCTTCTAGAATCTATAGTTATGGCACAGCAGCTTCCTGTTCATCAAAGATCACAGCTAAAGTGATGTAATCCTGGAGACAGCTTCAGGTTTTTCATTGTGGTAGAGGCAGTATTTCTCTCGGCTGGCCAATTTCAGCTTTATACTGTGCTGGGACTCGGCTGTTCTGGGATTCATTCTTAGACTGTTTCTCCAATGATTTTGTAAGCACTTAATTCACTATGCTAAACCCCCTTCTGCTTAAAGTAGCTAGAGTGGTTTGTATTTTCTAAAAAGGAACCCTTATTCCAACAATGCATAATTCTTATGTGTAGAAGGGCAAACTGAGATCAAAACAATTGAGAAAATATATCAGTATGAATATATCTCATAAGAAAAATATGTTTAAATTTTATATACAATGTAGAAGTTTTAGAAGGTTAGTTTTGGTGTTTTTTTTTCTTTGAGACGGAGTCTCGCTCTATTGCCCAGGCTGGAGTGCAGTGGCTGGATCTCAGCTCACTGCAAGCTCCACCTCCCGGGTTCACGCCATTCTCCTGCCTCAGCCTCCCGAGTAGCTGGGACTACAGGCACCCGCCACCTCGCCCAGTTAGTTTTTTATATTTTTAGTAGAGACGGGGTTTCACCATGTTAGCCAGGATGGTCTTGATCTCCTGACCTCGTGATCCGCCCGTCTCGGCCTCCCAAAGTGCTGGGACTACAGGCTTGAGCCACCACGCCCGGCCAGAAGGTTAGTTTTTTAAATGGAGGATCAGAAAAGGTAGCCTCTCTTTGAAGGTTTTATTTATTTTTAATTGTTTAAAAGCCTTAATCAAACGCAGGGTCCTAGCCAGGCATGGTGGCTCATGCTTATAATCCCAGCACTTTCAGAGGCAAAGGTGGGTAGATCGCTGGAGGCCAGGAGCTCAATACCAGCCTGGTCAACATGGTGAAACCCCATCTCTATTAAAAACGCAAGAATTAGGCAGTGCACGGCATGCACCTGTAATCCCAGGTTCTTGGGAGGCTGAGGCACGAGAATTGCTTGAGCCTGGGAGGCAGAAGGCACAGGAGGCATGAGAATTGTTTGAGCCAGATTGCACTACTGTACTCCAGCCTGGGCAACAGAGCAAGATTCTGTTTAAAAATAATAATAATAATAATAATACAGGGTCTTATTATTGTCTGTCAACTATGGGCAACAGGAAGAAAAACAAACTACTCAACAGAGTTTACTCTTAGGAAAAAACAAAGTATTAAATTTTTAAAAATATAAAATGTAGATATTTAAATTGTCTTCAATCTTGCCCAATTAAACTCCAAACAGTAAATACCTTTTTATAGTCTAAATTACTCTGATGTCAAGGTAAAGGCACCAAGGTACTCTGATGTCAAGGTAATGGCACCATAAACCACTAATGTAAAAAATAATTTAAGTTACCACATGTATAATACTGGAAGAGGCTTTCATAGTTTAGTATGATCTGCATGATCTATATGATCTACAATATGACAACAAGCTAATATTCAATGAAAGTAATAGGCAACATATTTAGAACAAATAAGACATTTATATAATCCATGTTAGGTAAAAGTAATTACAATAGGAGATCAAGTCAAATTACTTTTGATGTTTCTTTAAAAAGAAGATACAGTTATTTTAAGGCCATCAATAATATTTGTAGTTTTATGAACTGAGAGGATACTCAAATCTCCCATCAAGTTAACCTTAAGGTAGATTATAACCTTATCATCTACCACTTTTAGAAGACCTCCTTCAAATACCCATGTTATATAATTAAATAATATTCAAATGAAATTATCTGGGGTGAAGGAATTAGTCAAGGCATTTTCTCATTCTCCTAAGTAAGTCAATAAGCCATTTAGTCAAATATCAATGCTATGCCAAGTAAGTTCATGTCAAAAGATTAAGTATCAGAAGAAAAAAGAAAAGACATCAAGTCCTAAGGTCCCTAAACCCATTAGGTAAACAACGTATGAAACTGAACACAATGG